AAAGACAAACACCTTTGTATACATTCTTACGAATGAGAATCATTACAAAGGTTGCCTAAACAAAGGCCTCTTTTACAAATACTTTTCAAAACCACACAAAGCACCATTTCAAACAATTTCAAAAGCAAAGCAAGTGATCTAAGCAAGTAACTAAGAGCCCATGGAAAACCATGGATGAAAAGGGTGCTAGCACCTTCCCTTTTCATAATCTACCCCCCGAACTCAAGAAAACATCTCAAAGGTCTTTCCTGTGCTTTTTTACCTTTCCGTTTGGATAAATTAAAAGTCGGTGGCGACTCTTGCTAACCGCGACATTTTGCAAACACAAACGCAAACCTTCAAGTCAGTTCTCCCACCGTATCATATATACAAAGAAGTTTTTAATAATATCTGATCGGGGCGTCATTTCAAATTGCGTTTAATCTTTCATATTTTTACGCTTTCTATAGGATTATTCCCTGTTATAATTAGGCTTCCATATAGGATGATGTCCCAATTGATGTTTGTATATTTTAAACTATGTAGTATGTATTAATCAGTACACAAGTATGAATTATTCAAGATATTATTCATTGATACATCTATTCATTAACTGATAAAAAGCACAGTAGTGAAGATCTAACCTTATACACGTGACATGTTTTATTTTTATCGGTAACATCCAATCTAAATCTAATAGTTTCGCTTCTTTTAAAGTGGTTAGACTTGCAAAATTCATCCCAGACATGACCTAACTTTGTATGGTTTTGATCGTCTGGGTACAAAATTGATACCATTTAATTGGTTCCATTGTCCCCTCATAATGCCAAAACCTCATACTCATAGGCTTGCAATACACCAACAAATTCAGGTTACGGTTTCTACAAACATAATAATGATATCAGTCAGTCTAATGTTGTCGTCCATACGTAAGTCGTACCTTATTACTTGAAATAACATGTCATACTCAACTAATAATCTTGTCGAAACATTGAGTGGTGTCAACTGGACATCAAAAACGTATATCCCTTTTTGGTTGGTAAACCTACTATGAAAGTTTGGTAAGTCCTCTAATCTATTATTCTCTTTAAAAGCTACAACTTCAAATGATTTCTTCCCGTAATAATCCATAACGACCATGACATTATCAGGTAGCAAGTAATGATTTTGAAGCTCCTTCCATCCCTAGAGTAGCACTGAATGATCCTCATTTTCATTATAAACCACCCGATGACTTATACCTTCGTTGTATACAATCGACCACGTGCTCTCTAGATCTACACTATGTTTTATAGCAAACAACATCTCAATCTCATCGTATGAATGGAGATCCATTTAAAATTACAACTTTAGACAATCTATTCATACATATATGCATACATAGCATCCACAATATTACATGGAAAGAACCTTTATGTAGCTTACCTTAAAGGACAGTTTTGCAATAGCAAAGGTGTCTACCAATTGGTTCTGAATGTCAACTGCAAATCTCTTCATGTATCATGCGAACTCACCTTGGTAACTTTAGTATAGGACCATTTTTTCTAGGGTTAACAACAACACTATGACCTGGATCTCATTATTTTTTCATTTCTCCACCACTTGCTCAATTATTACTCATGTAGTGGGAACATTCACGTGCCAACAGTAATTGATAAATTCACTCTATTTATCAGTTCAAGCAAATGATAGTTTTTGGTCTTTATGCATAATGCCTTTAATGTTGTCAACCAAACAATACACTTATGTGTGAGAAATAATAGCATTGGAATCTTTTGCTTACTTTAACAACCAACAAACAAATGTATTAAGAACAAAAACATGTGGGCCTATCCTGCTGCACTTATTCATATTTAACTATGAAGACACTACACTAACAATTCAAACTTTAAGGCTTCTTCCTTTCTACCTGTTAACTTTACAATTGAAGTGGATTTTCCACCACTATTTTATATTGTTCTTTCACAACATTACTACATAAATTAGATTGAACACACACATGAGGTAAACATAACACATATATCATTAATATTATACTTGGCATAAAAATACCATTACAAATTTAGTATAGTTATACAACATAGGCCAATAACAACCTTTTCATGTTTCCAAAACCAACTATTAACTACTATATATTACATGTTTCTCTTTGCATCTATCAAAATATTTAACATTACACATTACATATTAACAATTATTGCAACAGTAGTAAGAACTACAACATCATTTTCAAAATAATTGTCGCTTCATTCTCGGGAAAAACATTGATTTGTCCCCAGTAACACAATCCTAACCATTCACCGGTCTTCAAGGATTTCAATTCCCACTCTCCACACGAATTATGATTTCCTCCATCGGTGGATATCTAATAACGAATCTCAAGATATTGCTCTCCATTAATTTTCTTCCTTTGGTCAACTTGTACCAGCCCTTAGCAAGGAATGCGTCATTTGTTGTACCCCTCCTCTTTAGAAAACATTGATGCTCCTCACTAAGTACCTCATCATACATCAATATTGTACATGGATGTTCAGCAAAATAATTCTTCACCACATGTGTTGGTATTTACTGCACAACACCAATATTGAACTTAATGTAGAACAACATATTTTGCAGTTAAAATTGTACTCTACTATGTGTTAACTCTTGAACTTACCAGCATGTTTGTGGAAAAAACCTCTGGAGACTCTACAAGCTTGGACCATATCTCCTCTTCCAGCGCTCCAATAATCAGAGTATACGGCCTACATGATATCATAATACAACATTTATGAATGGTTTCATTCTAATGTTACTGACACTTAACCTTACAGATAACATCAAAACTAACAGTTTAACATCCCTAATAAGTTGATAACCTTACAAACTATTGTACCTTTGACTATTATAGGAAATCTTAATTGGATCATCGAAGTTGCCGCCTGAAGAATGAACATCATTCACTCCTTTCACTCCTTAACCCACCTCGTTTACATTTTTAGCATCCGATCCTGCCTTGGCTTTCCCCTTTACATGGTAACGATCTACCGCAGATTTGCACTGTTCGAAAATCCTCTTTCATGCTCCTTCCATTCGAGTCTTCTCCAATACCTCTGTTAGAAAAGTTACTCTCCCAAGTATTTTCCATTCCATATCTTTTCTTTTCTCTTTCGTCGGTTTGCGAGATAACAGGGAACAAAATAATATTTACTGATGTTAGACTTATAACATTGCAACATTTCCCTAATCTAAACATTCAAACAAAATTTTATGAAAAATATAACCTTTGAGCTCTCCTACAGAATACACCTTTGGTTGTCGTTGTTAGAAAGATGTTGAATAGTTGGTGTTGTTGTTGTTGGAATAGAAAGATTTTTGCCAAACCCCTTACACCTTCAAGTTATGCAATTGTTTCCCTTGGGCTTAAATTTGGTTTGCTGGCCCATTCCAATTATTGTAACACAACCCATATGTCTTACAGTTTGTTTCTATATGTTATTTCACTGCAACTTATTTATACTATACCAATATTGCAAATTGTTTATATTCTATTACTAATTGTAACAATTTTTTTTAATGTTTTCACTACAATCTTATTTGATTTAATTTTTGTTTCTAACTTCCTTTTGTTAATCTAATTTTGTATATTAAATTAATCACATAATTATTTATGTGATTAATTTTATTTCCATTTTTTAAATTTATTATTCTAAATGCTTATATTTTTTATTCTAATTTTTATTTTTTATTATAACCCTAAATGGTGAAAACACAACAATCTATAACAGGACCCGTGCGAACGCACAGGTTTTCTACTAGTATTATATAAAACCCGTGTGAAAGCTCTAAAGGTTTGACTAATTTTGGTAAAATAAGATGCTGAACAAGATGTTAAAATATGTGAAGAACAACATGTCAGACAAGATGTCCCACCATGAAGACTCGACATCTTGGACTGCAACAACATGATTTTGGTAAATCTCTTCCAAGATTTAAAGATTCCTTTAGCAGTGGATCAAGGAATATTTTAACAGAAGATTCAAAGCCCATGGACAGCTGAAGATTATAAAACGAAGACTTAAATCGAGGGTAATGTAACTAATCCTTGTGTAAAACTTTTGTAAAGTAAAATAAGGGTTTAGGGTTTTGAGAGTCGTGTACTTTCTTGTGTTGTAAGTCACCCTTTGTATCGGTTTGATACATTGTGGTAGACATTGTTTTCTATACAAATTAAGAAGCCTTTAGGTAATGAATAGTATATTTTTCTTGGATGAAGCTTTGAAGAAAATCCAAGTATGTTTATTAGTCAAGAGTTTTGGCTAAACTTTATATTGAAAGGGGTGTCTTACAAGTAGTTTGATGCAGTCACCAGAGATTGTGATTGTTAGATATCACTGAGGTGATTTAGGGAGTGAGATGGGTTTCTCTTATATTAGATGGAGTTCTAAGATAAGGATTGCATTGGGTAGTGATTAGGTAAAATAGAGGTTGTTTACCTGTAAGCCTGAGGTTGTTTACATAAAATAATACTACTGATAGTGGAATCTTCTTCCTGGCTTGGTATCCCCTAGAGTAGGTGTTGTTGTATACCAAACTGGGTCATCATATCTTTGTGTTATTATCATTATGCATAATTCAGTTTTTTCTTGTTGATTGACATGTCATATAAGACGTTAGAACATCTGTCATGATGTTGTTATGATAATTGTTATATCAGTGTGCTTTATCTAGTCCAGGTGTTGTTACGCAGAGATCTTTGTCTCGACATGTGTTAGGACATTATTACTTATATACCAGAATTTCAATTGGTATCAGAGCAGGCATCCTGTTCTATTTTGGGTGAGATCTAGGGAAGATACTTTCTGGTACAATGGACTTGAAGGAGTAAAGTGTTACGCAACCGAATAAAGGAGATTCTTCCTTTTGTGATTGATGAGGAGCAAAGTGCCTTTGTTAAAGGCAGGTTGATAACGTATAACGCTCTTATTTACATTGAGTGTTTCCATTGGTTAAAGAAGAATAAGAAAGGGAAGAAAGATACCATGGAGCTCAAGCTTGATATGTCGAAGGCCTATGACCGGTTGGAATGGGAGTTCATCATTGGTTTTTTGAGATCCATGGGGTTTCTAGAGCCTCTTATTTTGGTGATTTCTAGATGTATCTCTTCTGTTTTTTATCAAATCCCATTGAATGGGAGCCCTAGAAAATGTTCCAAGCCCGAGAAGGGCCTCCGTCAGGGGGATCCCCTCTCCCCCAATTTGTTCATCTTGTGTGCTGACATTTTTCAGGTTTGCTCAAGGAAGCTTATCGTGACAAGAAGTTACACGGTGTTAGGGTGGCTAGGAAAACACCTATTATTTCCTACCTCTTCTTTTCCAATGATAGCCTACTTTTTGCTCGTTCTAACTTGGTGGAGGCAGACAAAGTCTTGGAGATCCTTAACAAGTATTAAGAGTCTTTGGGGCTAGTGGTGAATTTGGAGAAGTCTGAAGCGTCCTTCAGTCAAAATATGCAGGATGATGTTAAAGATATGATTCGTAATATGACGAAGCTAAAGACAGTGATGCGACACTCCAGGTATCTCGGGATCCCGATGGTTTTTAGTCGTTCTAAGAAGGAAATATTTAGCCTTGTGATTGAGAGGGTGTGGAAGAAATTAAAAGGTTGGAAGGAGAAGTTTTTGTCTAGAGCGGGGAAAGAAGTGTTAATCAAGGTCATTGCTCAAGCTATTCCTAGCTACATCATAAGTTGTTATAAGTTGTCTGAAGGGGTGTGAAATGAACTTTAGTCTATTCTAACTAGATTTTGGCGGGGTTCTAAAAATGGGGAAAGGAAAATCCACTGGATGAGTTAAAATAGATCAGATTCCTCAAAAGGCGTGGGAGGAATGTGATTTAGAGGAATTAATGAGTTTAACACTAGTTTGTTAGAGAAACATCTCTAGAGGCTTCAGTCTGGTGAGGATTCCCTTCTAGCTAGAGTTCTAAAAGGCAGGTATTTTCCTAATTGTTATATACTTGACACTGAAGTTGGATTCTCTCTAAGCGATGCCTGGAGAAGCATTATGTCTGCTAAAGATTTAATTATTAGGGGCTCTCGTTGGAGGATTGGAAGGGGTTACAAGGTTATAGTGTGGAAAGATAATTTGTTGCCTGGTTTTGTTGTTTTCAATGGCCAAAGATTAGATGATGGGTTTGAGGAGGATGTGAAAGTTAGTGAGCTAATTTATTTTGACCTTTGCAGGTGGAGAGATGACATTATACATTCTTACTTTGATTCTGAGGTGGTGCCTCAAATCCTAAGCATTCCCCTTTCGAGGCGCTGTCCCTCTGACGAGTTATTTTGTTTAAGTGAAAAGAATGACAACTTCTCTGTTTGGTTAGCTTACCATTTTCTCCATCAAAGGAAATTAAACCAGAGAGCTACCCTCAAACCATCCTTCCACGCCTCTGTGGAAAAATATGTGGCACTGTCATTTGCACCATCGTGTAAGAATTTCATTTGGAGGATTGCAAAGAATATTTTCCCTACAAAGTCAAACCTTCAAAGGAAAGGTATAGCCCTTGATCCCTTATGTCCCTTTTGTGAGTCTGAGCCAAAAACGGAAAACCATATTTTATTGCAATGTAAATTTTCCCGGTTTACGTGTTTTTCTTCCCCTATGGATTTTTGTAATACAAATATTTTTTAATGGCTTACCTCTTGTGTGAGTGGTTCGGGTCAGCTGAGGAACTAACTCATGTGTTCGGTGTTGTGGAAGATTTAGAATGCACGAAATCTCTATCATTTCCAATCAAAAACTACTAATTCCAAAAGTTGGCTTCTGATACTTTTGATTGTGTTATGGAGTATAACAAAGAAAATCCTATAATTAGGAAAGGAACACCTATTGTCAGTGGTGGTTTTGATCTGAACAGCCCCTGGGACCTTTGTGATACGGTGGGAGAACTGACTTAAGGGTTTGCGTTTTGTCGCAAATGTCGCGGTTAGCAAGAGTCGCCACCGACTTTTCTTTTATCCAAAAGGAAAGGTGAAAAAGCACAGGAAAGACCTTTGAGATGTTTTCTTGAGTTCGGGGGGTAGATTATGAAAAGGGAAGGTGTTAGCACCCTTTTCATCCATGGTTTTCCATGGGCTCTTAATTACTTGCTTAGATCACTTGCTTTGTTTTATTTGAAATGGTGTTTGTTGTGAGTTTGAAAGTATTTTGTAAAAGAGGCCTTTGTTTAGGAAATCTTTGTAATGATTCTCGTTCGTAAGAATGTATACAAAGATGTTTGTCTTTTGAAATTTTTTTCAATGTTTTTCAATGTTTTGAAATGTGTGTGTGCTTGTTTTTGAAAATAGCAAGGATTGTTTGAAAATGGAGCAAGTAACTTAGAAGCTATCTACCTACTCAACTGTCTTTCTTGTGCATTTTCATTCCTTTGACATGGTTGTCTTACCATTAATTTGGTAAGCAACCCTATCTTTGGATGTTAACTGGACGGGTGTGGGTCATCGTATGACCATGATAGCAATGTTGCCAAGTATCTTAGCATTTTTGAGGGACCAAGATCATTTTGTTTTAGGAAACCTTTTGATAGCGCCATCGAGGGACTATGATCTTATACTTGTTTTGTTTTGCCAAGATACTTCGCATGCATAACATGGCCATTTTATTTTAGGCAACCAAGTGGGAGAAACCCTAAGGGTGCTTGTGTGCAAAGTGTGTCATTTTTCATGCTTTTGTCTTGTCTTGTATTTAGGGTTTTTCTATTTGTTTTGTTTTTGGTTCTTGTCATGCAAACCCTAATTACTAATCATAGTATATAAAGCGATAAATTGCGTAAAATAAACTAAACTATTACAACAATTATTATGGGAGGGGGAATACAAGTTTTGAATGGGGATTTTGCACAAATATAAACCTAAATATATTATTACAACCAAATTGAATATTGCGCGAATTAAATAAATAAGACAAATATTTAAAATGCAATGCAATATGTTCATGTTAAACAATGTTTTGTGCTTTGTTTTTGTATGAGAAAAATAATTAATTTAAACCCTAGAAAAAAGGAAAAAATAATATTATCTTTTGAGAGGGATGAAACCCTAATTTTTATTCAAAGAAAAAACAATGTTTCATATTATTATTTTGTACATTTTTTGTACAAGAAAATAATAAATAATATTATATGTAAATATTAAAAATTAAATATGTATAAAAATAAGTATTTATGAGTATAAATAGTATAATAAAAATATTAAGTATTTTTAAATATATTTACAAGTTATTTAAGAAAATAAAATCTATTTATCATAATAAACTAATTTTTATGTAAAAATAAAATAAAAAAATAAAGTAAAATTTGCAAAAAATAAAGAAATTATTTTTAGGATTTTTTATTATTCTGAAAAAATAATCAAAAGCAATAAATATAAAAATATGAAAAAAAAATATGAAAAATATAAAAAGCTAGTCAGGGGGGTGCAAATAGCAAAACCAAAAAGCCCAAGGCGCCAAAAAGCCCAGAACACTTCGTCCCTGTCCTTCGTCCAAGCTTCTGCGCGCGCTTCATTTCAAATTTGTAACTCTCTTATGCTTGCACAAAAACAAAAACTTATAACATGAAAAATGTGGCATTTAAGCTCACGATTCTAACCATATAAATTATGTAACCTAACTCTTAAAGATCAGAGAGAATTTTGGAAGCCCTAATTCGTGACCTAATTTTTTCAGAGTTTTCAAGCTTCAAATTCTCTTAGCACACGCAATATAAATGACAAGTAAAGATATGTACAACTTCGTTATGATATGGACTACATTTTTTCTTCACAAATCGTGGCTTGAAGTTGCCTATTCAGAGAGATAGAGTTTGAAAAAATACCTCATTCAGTTGGATTCGAATAGGGCAATGTAGGGACTTTAATGGAGGCCTGAGGATTGTTTAAGCTTCCTTGAACTTCCCTGAAGCTAATCCAATGCTTATCTTGCTTTGAGGATGGATGGAACTCTCTGAACAAGTCAAGCTGCAAGCTTCCAAAGTGAAAATGGCAAATGTTGAAACAGGGGTTACAAAACCAGGGTGATGGCTGGGATTGATTAGTTATCAAGTGTATGAGATGTTTCAAGTGTTTAAACACAAAACGCACGAGCCAAATAAGAGTTGGTTGTGATTTTGCAGAATCTGAGTGTTTTGGCAGAATTTTGGTGTTTATGAGTTTTAGAGAGTTTCAGCTTCAATCCAATCATGCTATGCCTTGCAACAAGTTTGTATATTTGTATAGAAATGATACAGAGTCATCCCTTACTAGTTGTACAAGCTTTGGACCTTTTTGCAACTTTTCTTGCATTTAAAGTAAAGTGAAGTGACTAATCTCACATACTTGTACCAGCTTGCTTGAGGGCTGCAATGAGCTTGTACAACTTGCTTGAGACCTGTGTACATTGCTTGTATCAAGGAGACAGGTTCAATGCTCAAGATTGACAAAGTTGCAAAAGCTTCTCTTTATGAGAATGGCATTGTGAACTTTTTGCCCAAAATGGAAATATCTCTTGTACAAAGCTTCAAAAGCAAAGATAATGCCTTTGTCAACTGAGTTTGCATTTAATTATGGAGTGTAAAGCAAGCTTAGGACCTGTAAAGCAAGATACAACCAGCATGGGTTTGATTTGCAACTTGATGCTATGTGAAAATGGCTTGAACAAAAGTGAGAAAATGCCAACTTCTTCTCTTCGATTCTCCCTACTCAAAAATGATCTTGGAGAGTTCTTGGACATTTTGGAAATCTTGCAATGTGCTCTATAATCCATCTTTGAAATTCATTTTGAGATACCTCTTGGAACTAGGTGAAAAGTTGCCATGAAGTTGGGTCAAAAACCTGCCTAAATTAGGGCAAAATTTCACTAAGTTATTTAGTTCATGAGCATGTATTCACAAATTTATATCTTGAGATCCAAGCATCTTTAGGGAAAACTTTGTGAAGAAAAGTTGTAGATTACATGGAGGACTACAACTTTCATGTTGGGAACTTTTCTTTAATCAAAATGCATTGTGGTGAAAAGTTGGGAAAAAATAAGAAAGTTTTCATACTTAGAAAAATTCTAAGTTATGAAAATTTTCAAATTTAAAACCCTATTTTTCAAATTTGATTTTCTTGGTGAACAAGTTTCACATTTTGACATGTCTTGATGAATTATGACCCTTGGCACTTGATTTTGACCAAAAAGTCAAAGTTTGACTTTTCAATATACAGTTGGCTTTTGATCAGTTGATTGCAAATTTCATCTGTCAATCCAATGAACTTGAGATCTTTTGAACCATGTAATTAGGTCAAGATGATTCCATTGAATCTTTGAAATCATTCTCGAACTCAATTGGCCATTGGCTAGGTTAAAAATCAGAAATCGCCCTTTCTCAGTCAAAAACCCTAATTTTGACCATTTTGCCCTTTTGATGATTTGATCAAATTTCTTGAGGAATTATGATCCAAACTTGATCAAATGGTACATATGAGTCTAAAATATTGATGTGGATAAAAAATTATGAAGTTTGACTGTAAATTGGCCATGGTTTACTTTTTCCCCAATACAACTGATTTTTAGGTCAACTGTCCAATTGATTGATCAAAAATGTAGTTCAAGGCTTGAAACTTTTCATGAGCAATCTTAGGAGTCCAAAATGATGTATGAAAGTCACATGAAGCATTGATGGTACAAAAATCCTTGTGCAAACTCAAATCCTAATTTTAGGTTATTAGTGCAAGATGAGGTGTCTTGAACTGACCAAACCCTAATCTTGTCTTGAGTCCAAAAAGTCTTGTGAGAAAAGTCTTGATAAATGAGAGGGAAAATTTTGGGGTACAACAACTGCCTCTGTTCAATCTTCTTGAACCTGAAGAGTTAGATTGGCGAGTTTTTCCATTCGTGACTCGAAGGTAAAAGATGATTGGACACTAGAGTGCCTATAAATTTGCACTCGATGAAGTGTAGTTGAGGGAATGGGCTTAAAGATGCCATTTGGAGAGGTGATAGAATCTTGTTGGAGATGGGCTTGTAGATGCCATCCAAGAATGTTTGTTGTAAATCAGAAGAATAAGCAACAAAATGGTGTCCGTATCTGGAACGTATCTGAACTGTATCTGAACTTGAATCTGAATAAGTGACAGAATGGCAACCGCGGCTGGAGCATATATGGATTGTATCTGAAGTTGAAATCTGAATGAGTGACAGAATGGCAACCGTGTCTGGAGCGTATCTGTATTGTATCTTGATAAGTGAGATCCGAATGAGTATCGAAATGGCATCCTTGTCTGGAGCGTATCTAAACTGTATCTGTATTTGAAGTCTGGATGAGTATCAGAATGGCATCCGTGTCTGGAGCGTATCTGTATTGTATCTTGATAAGTGAGATCTGAATGAGTATCAGAATGGCATCCTTGTCTGGAGCGTATCTGAACTGTATCTGTATTTGAAGTCTGGATGAGTATCAGAATGGCATCCTTGTATGGAACGTATTTGTACTGTATCTGAAATCTCTGAACATTGTTAAAGGTAGTTGTTAATCTTATCCTGAAAAGGGTAAAATGTTATCTAAAACACAAAGTTACGTTGCATGAAATGTATGATGCAATATATGTGCTTTATCAATGTTTATGATACATGAATGTAATGTATGCGCATGTAAGCCGATTTGCTGTATTACTGAGGAAAATAAATCCTTGAATGTTGAGGATACGTGGATTCTTCATGTCTTGAAGTTGGAGTATTGACAAAAATTCCGTTGTGAGAGTAAAGCCATGTACTGTTTGAGGAATCTGTT